ACCCTGAAGGCGTACTTTAACTATATTATAAACAGCTTCTTTTACCTGGTTCGTCCTCCGGCTAGTCTACCACAGATTCATCCGGCAAACGAATACAAATGGTTAAGGATTATCACAACTCTTAACGAAAGACCACTGTTTTCTCTCTGAAGTTTTCATCCAGGCGCACTATTCATTTTTCTACTGGTAGCTCAAGATTGAAAATTTGTTCTTCTACTTCTAGTTGCTTCTATAGCCTCATTTGTGGTGTGGCCTCACCCTAACTATAAAATATTTTCATATACGGACATTTATATGAGGGATGAATGACCTATAAGAAAAGTGAGACAAGCTTTTGAGTATGGAATTTTACTGCCACTACAGTCCAATAAATAAGTGCCCCAAAACAAAACCCCGAAATCGGACTCCCCAGGTTCTTGTGTTGGCATTTTTTTAAATACTTACATATCCTACATGTTAAAGATTTTTCTCGTTGAGCAATTCATCGTTTTTTCTTATTTCAGTGGTTGATGATGGAGTTAGGCTGTTGGGCCCATGGTCTTGTGGCTGTTCCTCTTTATGACACCCTCGGAAGCGATGCCATAGAACACATCTGCAACGAGAGTGAGCAAGTTTTTAATACCTTTTTTCTTTAAATGTTCCTCGTTGTGTCTTTTCTAATCCGCATTTTGTTGACTGAGTTCTTTTGCTGGTATCACGTTAGGATGCTAAGATTTTCGCATTAGTCCTGCTCTTTTCTCGCTAACGACGGATTGCCCGTCGTTTTGAGCACTGACCTTACGAAAAAACTGCTAACCGGTGTGTCTCCCTTAATCTCCAACCTGTTTTTTACTTTTATTTTTAGCTGAGCTTACTGTAGTTATGTGCGACAGTCCAACAAGAGCCCGCTGTCTCATTTCCAACAGATCTAGTCTGCCACACCTTCGGACGATCATCATTATTTCTCCCGATGGGGAGTTGGACAACCTGCGAGCGGAGGCGGAAGGCCAAATTGAGGTTCTCCTCTTTCAGGACCTTTTGGTACGTAACTCGGGATTAACTCCTCTGTGAAAGATTCTTCCACTCTAGTCTTGTCGGCTTTAAGTCAGCCTACGATTGTTTAGGCGTTGACGTTGTGAATGCGTTCCCACTTAACTCTGAGAACTGAAATACATAGCATAAAAGTACCTGTGAAATTGTTGCCCCTAATTTCCAACACGCATGCAATCTTTTAACTTGGACTATGCCCAGCAATGTAGGGACTAAATTTGAATGACTGTGTCTTTGTTCATTACCCAGGGCTCGACTAACTAAAAGTTCTTTGTCGATGTGTTCGATAACTTACATGTGATATTTAAACGCCCAATTAAATGCCGTTTTTATTTGGTACGTTTTAGAGCCTGGGTGCGAAAAATCCAAAAGAACCAGCTGTAAGTTTATCTTAGCTTAATGATCATGTACACAGAATTTCTCTTCCCTTTCTTATTATTTTTTACCAAATATGTCAATATCGCAATAACGGCTGTAGTCACAAAGTACCACGGGGTGTCGCCACACCTAGCTCGGATCCCACAGAGAAAGAGCGTCACAGAGGCCACATTAAGATGAAAGTCAGTCAATATACGTAATACCGTAACTAAAACCCGACTGTTACCGGTGCTTAATCTGTGTTTGGTGTGCATTACTTGCTAC